TCAAGAATTCTTCATTAAAATTTCGAATAAAATAAAGAAATGTATAATGACATGATTCCTGCACTTTATCGGTAGAATTACACTGTACGTGATAATAGACTTTTTATACGTTTTTTGAAGACATTTTCTTCGTTTATAGAGTATTATTGACTTAGTTATTTTAGTGATGTATGTATTTAAATAAAGCAGATACCTGTATTTTGTTGAGGCCAGTGTGATCGGGCCGTTATACAATTTCGTTAGATTATTGATTCATTGGTCTAGATTGCTTGCATAAGACCATTAACTTTCTGTTAGCCAACCACACAACGAACTTTATTTGACTAATAACTCAATGATAGTAGGATAACGACCGATATTAATACATAACCTTTACTGGCCTATAGTGCAGTTTCCCACAAACGTTTTATCTGATAGCCAGAATAAAACATAACAGGGCGGATAACTTCTACTTGTATAGTACGACTTTTTAAATCATATTGTAATGTAAATTAGTTACTTGAACGCACGTCAGCAAAAATAGAAAATTACAATTTACACATAACTATATAGCAAGTGAAGGAGAACTGAACAAGTCCGTAATGAATTAACAACAGAACAAAAGTTCATGCACTCAAGGAAAGTTTATAGACAGTAATTCAACTGCATAACAATTATACAATAAAAATACAAACCATAATTCTCTGTAAGATAGTTCTGAAAGTTACGAATTCTGCAATATTCACATTACAGCAGTTAGAAATAATTACAATCACAAACTCTTTCCTATTCATTATCAGTTAATCAATCTATATCTATGTTTTTGTGCTAACTCAAATCAATCAGTACATCAATATATGGTAAGTGTGTTATAACCGTTTATCTTTTTCAGTACAAAATTGTTGTACGTTGGATCACGATAAACAGTGATGAGAATTGATTAAAACGAAAATATGAATTCATGTTTGATAAGATAAAAAGACAGTATTTAGACCAGAATTTTTTTATGTGAATTCATTATGAATTTTGACCTGGTTGATAGGTGTGGACTTTATTTAGTGTGACTTTTTATAGTAAATATTTCGTGTATTAACTCAGTACAACTTTGTTTTATATGACAAATGTGAAATTTTGTTGTGTAACAGTTATATTCTCTGTATCAACTTGATAAGTTTTGCGGATTGAACGCTATATTCGTCTCCTAAGCTATTCTGTAACCCCCAAGCTAGAACTATACAGCGACCTGAACACAAGAGAGAAGACTCAAAGTATGCGAGTAGTTTACTCCAATGTTCATTTTAATACAGAAAATACAGGGTTTTTATAATATTTTAAATGTCCTTGGGTTGCTAGAAGATTCTGGAATGCTACTAAACATAGTAGCAATGTAGCAGCCAACCAATCAGAGCCTCTGCATGTGACGTTTCGCTTCCTTGATAATTTTGGCTAGGACTTCAACTGAACGCTGATTGAATGAAACGCTTCTTAGTGTTTCCTGATGCTTGCTTGTCTTTTGCAAGCAATTTTCTGGATCACCCCAACACAACTCATATGAACTATATTCTCCCACAAATATTATTGTGTAAATGTGATTGTATTTTTGCTTAATTAGGATGCTATTTTTTGGAACTTGTCATCAGAAAGTCCATAGATCTTCACTGGACTAATCTTTCGTGTTCTCACTTAGCATCGTGGGAATTGCAGTGGTCTCGTTTCAAAGTATGAGCAGTAGGATCGATGAGTTGCAGTAGTTTCCAGCTGTCAAACATAAGCTGTAGGACCACAGACTCAACACACATTAACAGCGACGTCACGCGAGCAAATCTGTGGTAACTCGGAATTTACACTGTTATTTCACTATAAGTTTGTTATCTTGTTTCTCTTGAATTGTATAAATGAAGAAAACTGTAGCGAGTGTCGTGAATTAAAATTTCGTAGAAGAACAATGAAAAATAATTCTGTCGATAATCAAATACTGGATCTTCAAAACCAGAGAGATTAATCCTTATTTGTACTACTTATTTCGTACTATTTCAAGTTTTAACAATAGTTGAATTTTATAAAAGATAAAAACCAGTCATACGATACATTGACCGAATGATATGGGAATAAAAATTGTCAATGAGAATTGTGATATTTCGAAGTATGCTTATCATTCGTGAAGTTTACAATAAAAAAATGCAAATAAAACGTGTAAATCACTTGCAAAATTCAGTTGTGACATACTTCAGTAACCAAAACATTCGCGTACTGATGTGTGATTGACGTCAAATCCTCAAAAAAGTGCTTATCAGTTGATTTGCAACTGTATTATTCGGTGAAATACCCAGGTCCTACTGTCTCATGAAAATGAATTATTTGTCACATTAATAGCAATCGAGATTCACATATTTTCGGCAACATGGCCACTCTTGAAAATGAATCATTCAAATATATTTATTTATAATTAACGTCAGTCACACTGAACTCAATGATTGGAGCTCGAGTGATTTATTTCAATATCCAAAATATAGTTCAAACTGTAGACTGAAACTTTGATTCGAGGTTATGAATTCTAGAGGTAGTAATTGGTTTATTGATAAACGAAGATGAGCCATCCTGCACTAACATCTAAAATGTCATGATTTATGAGTTTGTGATGTATTTATTGAGGAAAAAGCCATTCAATTTGTTTTGACAGATATGAAAACATCCCTGAACATAAAGTTGGATAAACTTGAACATCCATCGATAACCAAAGAATGTATTTGATACCAGTTCGGAATGATCAAATTTGAAGTAGGCATATACATAACAGGTCATAAATGATCATGCCAAGTCAAATGAGGTTGGAGATATTAGCATGTCTACATCATTACGGTTTCCACTAATAATTAATTTAATATTTCAAATACAATGGTCCTTCAATTCAGTACATACCTTATTTTGGCGACGCCACTAATAATCTCAGTGAGTTAATAAAGTCATGCAAATTTACACATACATAACGACTAATGACAGTTTAAACGTGTGATGTCGAATCTATGATACTAATTTACATACATGAAAGAGTAACACTGAGAAACGATTACTGATCAACTACTGATAGTAGTTCAAGAAATATTTTCCACATAGAAGTTTCATTGAAAAGTATATTCATTTAGGATGCTTATTCTAAGGTTGATACAAATGACCAACAGATTTTGCAGCATTCGCTGACAATGTGAAATCTTAACAACAGCTCGAAAGTATTTAAAATATAGACAAGTCTTCAGCACTTTTCATCCAGAAATACTATACCTGGTTGAGAATTGAGCAGTAATATGATCGACCATAATTGCCTGTACAGTAATTTATGGAATTTCGGCGTATTATAAGAAGTCATTCTTTGCCAAGTTTATGGTTGAGAATTATTTCAAAAATACATCACTTCTTAGTGTAGGTATTTACGCAAAACTTACATCGGCTTGTTTTTTGGCTTCAGTAACGTTTAACCAGATTATTCAACTTTGTGAGAAAATTTAGTTACAAATGTATCAAAGTGTGACCCTTTTCCTTATATAAATCGAGATCGCTGCAAAACCTATTTTAATGGAATTCTATTTCCTTGATAATAATTCAAAAATAATAAACGATACAACTTGTACCCTTACAAACACGTATTGTATATGTTTAAAATGTACAAATATATAAAGCATAATAGCATTTTGTAGCGCATCATTACGACAATGTTTTAATCAATTAAATCCAATGACCTCAATTTTAGGTGTCTAAGTGAATACGCCAGTTGTAAAACATTAACTTGCTCTCTTAATAATCTAGCTACTCAGAAAAGTTTTGAATTTATCAGTAATCGAGTGTACAAAAAACCTTGATAAGATCAGTAGGCTGAAATTAATGACTTTAAAAATAAATGAAAAATTCAAACACATAGAACACCGAATAAACCATTGAAAATGCAATAATTGATATGTAGTAAACAATCATAAAATATATTCAGATCTCCATATGAGGAAAAAAAAGAAACAGAAAATGAAACTGATTTCTAGCTATATCATACGACTTCATCTATCGAATGAGTTACATGGATAAAAGTTGGGAATCGTTATGAGCCAACATCAGAGTATAAAACGCGTTATATAACCCAATAGCACTTACATAAGCTTGTGTAATCGTATCACTAAATACTTTAGATTTAAGAAAAAACATCATACGAATAATAATCTTTATTATTCATAAACAAACAAATTTAAACTGTACTGCTTATCGTTTTTAATAAATACCAGCTTGATCATACAGAAAACAAACAAATAATCTCAGCGAAAAGGCTAAAACGCACATATCTACCGCCGCACTGACGAGTCTTTTAAGTAAAATATAGATGGTCGAGTTTCTAAAAACATGTACACAGACTTTGAGTTTAATTATTACAACTAAGAAAAGAAAGTATTATGCACTCTCAGTGGATAAACTCAGGTATTTACGAATGACAATAATCACAATAAGTTATAATAAAATCCTGCGAAACATGGTAACAATATTTCATCTTATCACGCTGAACCTTTCCTTACTAATTATAATTTTCGTATCTATCTTCATGATCAATATTCAACCCCTTGACAACAAAATTATAATTAGCTTCCTTAATAAAAATAACGTTTTTATACCTTTGTTTATTCTACTTCATTGTTATCATGTTTAGCAGGATTCTGTTACCACTATTGCTGTAATTAATATCATTTCGGAAATAAAGTATATATTTGCGATCGTGCAGCACTGAAAATGAAATCGACGAAAAGACAGCTCTTCGCTGAACCAATTTTTGTCATTTTTTAAAATGGGTATATTCTGTTTACTTAACAATAAATCTCTCCAAGATTTTAAACTCAGCCTAAATTGTGAACAACAGTTTTCAAGAAGTCTGTGTACTAAAACCAGAAGCCAGATTTTCTATGTTAGTAGTTGTTACAACAACTCTCTGAGTACTCAACAAAATATCCCAACATGAACGATAAGTAATAGCTGCATGACAGAATAAGTGTAGAACCTTTTAATTAACCAAGTTCCTCTCCACTTTCATACTTATCAACAAGTGTGCAAAATACGAGTGGAGCTAAAAAAGCAGGAACCGCCAAAAATATTAGTAGGCGTAAAGGTTGATACTCATTTATGAGCTTCGTGTTAGAAAAACAATAGTGAAACGAGGGTTTCGTGGAGAATTCTACAGCAAATACGAATGAATATAACTAAACATTATTTTACACTAACGAAATATTATTTACTACGACTTGTAGTTATCCAGTGACTGACAAGGAAGCTGTGGGAGAAAAGAAAAGCAATATAAGTAATGAAAGTGAAAAACGCCTAATACTGAACAATATTTAGGAAGATGGTAAAAAACAGAAGACTTTCTTACTCATCAAATATATGTATATTAGTGGGACAATTGCAAGGTCTCAGGTTTAAAGAACCGCAAAAAGAACAATTCAGAGGAAATAAGTTGGCGTAAAATTAAAAAGAAAAATAAAGAAGTGAAAATCAGGATTTCAGGTTAAGCATAAGCACAGATAAGGGATTTTTATTCAAAAGCTTATTCATGTAATATGATTTATTAAAAGGAGTATATACTTAAAAAGCATAAAATTATATGTATCGAACTAAGTAGCAAGAGGGAAAACACGTGAACTTGGCAATGTTAACAACTATACACGTAAAACAAAATGATGCGAAAAAAAAATATTGAATAACGTAAGGCAACAGACATTAGTGGACAGTAAGAAGCATATAAGTCGATTTTTAGGGAAATGAAAAATTGAGTCCCCAAATGCTACAAAAAAATCTAAGACTTTTGTTTGATTCATATTAACTGAAAAAACAGGTAACTGTAATTACCGGCTCATTGACAGATATACGTATATGAAAATAAGGACGGAGTAGTGCAGTGCAGGAATTAAGAAAATATGAGAAATAGAATGTGAATGGTGACAACATTAAATATCGTCGAAAATTAAGAGAATAATATTTTACATATGATTTTAAAAATTGTTAGCATTATAGTAAGCTGGGAGTGGGATTAAATCAGAACAGCAGGTGGAAGGGGAAGTGATCTAGTGATACACTACTTCCAAAATCAAATATCCTAAACAAAACATTGTGTCATTTTTTCAAGGGAAAGCGAAGCATATTAATTAGTTGAAATAATAACAATATCAACGAACAGGCAAATTCAGAAAAAGATTCAATACAACAAGACGGCTTTTCATCGTCTATTCTACTACCTTGTGAAACGTCCATATGATGAAGGAAAGATGTGAAGGAAAAAAAGGAGAAACACAATCGGAAAAAGATAATCATAATAATTTAAATATACCCAATTATTATGTGCTTGTAGTAACAAGTCAACAATAGTTATTACACACATCTTTTAAAATCAAAATAGTCCCCTAGTCATCAGCCCCTTAGGGTTAAAGAATTTGCATCAAGTAATCATGTGGAAATTTAAGGCACAGCCACACATCGCATCACACTTTAAAGATGTTCTGTTAAGTTTTTAGAAACATTTAACAATAGAGGAATGATTTCTCAAATGTGTTTGCAGAATATAAGCGAAATTACTAATTATATTTATCTATATCTTCTAGGGTTAACGACGATGTGATGCGAAATTGTGAACCGTAATGCAAATCAGCTGGTAGTTATTCATACTCAAACGAGATAGATTGTCATTTACTCTTTGATTTGTCTTTAGGTTTTAAAGAGAATGAGGGAAGTTTGAAGCGTCGTTTTTTCTTCTTGTGTTTACCCTGTAAAAATAAAAGATAACATACTGTTAAAAAATCATAATAAATCAATTAAAAAGTTACAGCGTTAAACGGGACGAACGAACACGATTAGGAAATTAGCAGTTTCTGGAGATTACAGAACTTGCGAGCCGATCTAAGTTATACAATCATTGGAAACCATGAAAAACTACACAGGTGTTTCGTCTTAGTATGAGACTCCTCGTTAGTGCATATTCATGACTCCATCGAGGGTTGGACACAAGACCACGACTCGCGGCGAACGCCTAACTTATAAACCAACTAGACTGGCATCCAATGGTATACATATTTAACGTCAACCAACTCGTGATATACCCCAACTAACTTTTATTGTCTTTGGTGCATAATTGCCTCACACCAGACACGTTCGAAATCGTCGTCATAGCTTCTCATTAGAATTCTGGAATTGCCTTGTCGAAATTAGTTACTAATGGAGACATGATGATTATCAATATGGGAGTCTGTGAATATTACTGAGATATCTTTCAGTTGCTTAATATGATGGGTATCTAGTTGCCTCTTTTTATGATAGATACAATGATCAGAAAATTTTAAACATGTACTAACTATACATTCCAAAACTAGAAATTTATAATTCTTCAAAATTATTTTAAAGAAAACTAACGTTACTGCATTCGAACACCATGTTGTTGTACGGCATAAGCCATGAATTACCAACAGTGTCACACCGTATTTAATTTTACACCTTAATTCTGTTTGTTAGTCAAATGTAGAGTACATTATTTTTTACTGGATGTTTAGGGTTAACAGCCTCGTTAAAAACTAATATCGAGATAATAATATAAAACTGGGGATTAATTTCTACAAATCAAAGGACTTAAACGATGGGAAATTCTTTAGATAAGTGTTGAATTTACTCGTATTTCATGTATTGCAATGGTGATTAGACAATTAATCTACTTTCAACACACGGTTTTGAGCTCATTCAGACTGCTTACAGATCTGTTTAGTATTGCAATAAAAATGACAGCTATTGCGTCATTTTCTAACTTTATGTCATCTAATCGAAAACTTCAAGTCACAAAAAGTGGCTCGATTCTATTTTCAACGATTTGTAGTAGAACGTTTTATCATTATTATATGTGGAATGACAAATATTAACATTTTAAGTCTAAAAAAGTAACAATAATAGAACGGAAAATTATTGGCACAAAAATTCAAGTAATTCAACTGTACAAAATCTAACCACCCAAACGAAACAGTGGTAGGTAGGGGTAAAAATAATTAGCTTACATCACTTTCACTCATATCTTCAGTTCCACTCGGTTCCGATGTCAGTGTCCCTGACGTAGGTGGTGGTGCTAAGCGACCTGTAACAGAGATGCAGATAGGTGATATCCAGCGTCAAAATTAAGTAAAGGAATTTCAATAACCAGTAATATTAATAATAACAATAGCAATGGTATTAGTAGCATATACGAAAGTGGCAGAGCACTAAATTAAAAAAAAAAACAAATTATTGTATGAATTTTTTAACCGACCAGTAACTGGACTGTCGATTGGGTACGTCTCCGAATGACGAATCTCTCCAACTCTTGCATTATGTACAGACGGAGATAATTCAGATAATGAATGAATAGCTGAAATCATTTCACCAAGGATAAAATACACATCAATCGGTAGAATATATTATTACCAGCAAAAGAATAAATTTATATTTCCGATTGAACGAACGAACAATGAAGAATTAGAGGGGTTGGGAGAGGAGAATGGCATGCAGGCAAGCAGGTAAACGAGTTAAGAAGAAACAAAGAGAAAACAAAAAATATACCATCAGATCAGTAATACACATATTGAACAATTATTAACAATAGTAAACGTATGCAATAATAATAATAATAATAATAATAATAATAATAATAATATTATTATTATTATTATTATTATTATATAGATCAATAACGGAAACACGTGCCAGTTAATCAAACAGATTCGTTAAAAATTTTAATTAAATGTGAACCAAATATTAAATAAGTCAATCTTCATGCTAATTTTAAGTCATATATATATATATATATATATAAGAATTTATCGTTAGAAATGGAAAAGATAAAATAATTAATGAGTGATAATTGAAACTGCTACAAGCATGCACTTATAACACACCACAAAGCTTAAAATCATTCTCGTGTACATATCAAATAAATGAGGTAATAATTTTACATGGATTTAAATGTTTAACCTAAACGGCTGTCGGGTGGGGGATGACATGTTGCAAATTTATATTCATGGGAAGGGGTTATACGATGATGGCGTAACAATAAACCAAAGAAGAATTCCCCAAACCATTGATGTTTAATGTAAATGAAGGATCAAAATATCAACTTTATCTTTTTATTTAAAAGTCACTATATATAAAGAACACTACATGAAATAAAACAAATCGTTTACATAGTTTACGCTAGGGAAGAAAGAGCGAGATGTAGCGACGAACAGTAATTATTCATATGTTAAGGTTTCTGGCAATTGAATCCTGGGATCAAGTCCCGCGTGCAGGATCGCAGATGTGCACTGCTAAGGAGTCCCATACTAGAACGAAACAGTCGTACACTGTTGTCAAGCTTAGATGGATCCGTGAATTTAGCTGTAAAAACTAACTCATCATGAGTGGGATGAATATTGCTTAACAAGATAGCTTTGCTTACACCTTGACAACACATTTGTAAACAAGATATTTTTTATGGAGAAGGGGTTATCCGGTCACTTGCAGTGTAGAAAAAAAAATCATAATTGATTGAATAAGGTAGCAAAATGAAACATCTACCATTTACTACACTAATTTCATAAAAATTCCTAATTATTTTTATTGGTTAAAAACTGGTTTAAATGAAAGAGAATAAATCTTGATAGGAATTCAGGGAATTTTCACATGTTACACATTTCTTCAAGTAATCAATTTGATTGACTGAACAAACAATTTTGAAAAGGCTAAGGACTGATGTTCGTTAAATAAACAAATTTAAGACAGATGTTACTAAATGTTATAATAATTTAGAGAAGCAAAGAATAAATATCTATAAATATTCTGACGCAAAGATTTTTCTGAAATTTATTTTTAAAAATCTGAATGGATTTGATCGCTTAACTTATACTTTTTTATGCATGTTCATGGAAGAAAAACTCGTGCCCCTAAATTTGAAAAGAGAACCAATAAAACAATTACTTGGACCAAGTTCGCTGGCACTTTCAAGATCCGTAGCACCACTATCGACGGCTAACGAATCTATAAGATGTGTAGTAGAACTAGGAGCTTCAAGAGATGCATTCTGTCCGGTAAGATGATGATCCATCTCGGCAGCTAAATCAGGATTATTTTTAAGTTCAATTTCACGTCGATACATCTCTAATTCTTCATCAGTAATTTTTTCGAATGGATTTTGATGAGAATAAAGACCCTGTGAGTACAAAAGAGATGAATTATCATTATGCAGTTAGAAGGAAGAGATAAAACATTTTATAAACCACTCAAGAAGTAAAATTTAGTTAACTGACACGCCTTCTAAAATAAAAAATATCTACTTATTTGAAAGAAATCATGGGAAAAAATTTTGCTAATGATATGAAATGACATTTAATCATCACTTATGAATACTGAAACAACAGGGGTGTGTCGTTATATTTTCGGTTAGAATATGATGGAAATTTTAAAGCTTACAATACTGAGCACACATATCGAGACGTACTTATGTAACGAAGTGCACAAATGGTTAAACAGAGGTTACAAATAATTAACTTTTAACAATCAGATGATTATGGGTTTGTATCAGACTGTATCAACCTGGATCTGCATAAGTGCTATCGTTAAATTTTTCTTTATTGTGTTAGTGTTCGTGTCAATAAAAGTGAAAAATGACAGTTGACTTTTACAAACATTACCAAGCTTTACACAAATGAAAAACGACAATAATTCCCCCTATTTTTTCTTTGTTTATATTAATTGAATGATCCTATGTTGAGAAGTTCAACTTCGCTAGTTCAAGAGCATAAATCTACGTGGACACTACTCTAGAATAAATGAATAAAGAATGAAACTTACAGACCTGATAGAAATGAAATCAATGCGCAGAAATAAACAAAATATGTTAATTAGTAGGGCACAAACGTAAGTGATAGCTAAACTCGATCCAATCAACATATAGAAACAATAAAGTAACATAAAGCTAGTAATATATGTATACCGATGTATCATTGACATGGTAATAACCGTTCAACATTCCACCCCAGTTAAAATTGACAGAATGTAGAAAAAGTACACACACAAATTGCTTACATCATATATCACTGCTGCATTTCGTATATCACGTTGGATAATTGCCTTACTAGCTGCAGCTACAGGCATTTCGCTAGTAACACCACCTGCCACTAAAGCGGCGGCTCTCGGACCTAATACTTTGACTAAACCTTCGTCACGAACTCGTCGAGCTTCATCCCATGTGAGACCATCCAACAGTCGAGATTGAGGCCCAGCAGTATTTGTATCATGATAATACTTCGCCTTGACCTTAATCAAAAAGAAATATATAAATGTTTACTATGATTACATACCCAGTGCTACAATTATCAATGGAAAAACGCTACCATAGATCATAGAGAATATGGGTTTACTGTCCCAGTGTATATTTGACGCTCAAAGGTGAACTATTCAGGATATTATTAATATTTTAGGATAATTCATATAATTTTAATTAAAGGGTAGAGAAGTGGTGATAAGCAATTAGAACTGAAACAACTGAAGCCAACACACACTAAGTGTATGACCCATCGAATATAAAATCATCTATGCTAGACACAAAACCAATAATATTTAAAAATAACCAATCTAACAAGGAAGCAAAATCATTGATACACCAAGCACATATTATTATTGCTTATTATACTCTTGCTCCTACCTACTTATCGACTAATTAACTAAAGTTGACAAGATTATTGTGGTTTAGACGGATACTTTTTTGTGTGTAAACCTTTTTTGTTACATTCTTAATTATGAATACTTTTGTCATAGCTTCTCTACCAAATATAATTTGATACATTCAGTACTGTATGTGTACATAATTCCGAAATCTCATGACAAAAACATGTTTGTTTTAAGGAATATTTGTCATTTTCCTGTTTCAACTTGTGCACAAACACATTTGGTACATTTGATTTATACTCATTAGTCAGTGCGAGAGTTAATATTACCACCAATACATAAAGAAATATTGTATTGGAATAATGGATAAAGCTGGACTAAAATATTAATTTTGAACAGAATTACTGCATAACATTTTAAACTACTAATCTCAGGATTCTACCACTTGACATGTAAGCTATGTTTATTGAATGAGTCCTACTTTTATTCTGATTCCGGAGTATAAATCATAATTAATTTCAATTGTTAGTACATAAACAAAGCAAAAAATTAAACCAGTAATTAATGTAGTGCAAAAATCAACAAAAATGTGTGTTTCTTTATTCATACTGTAGCTGAACATCATCAGTTGAGTTACGTCTAGTTGTTGACGTTTAACATATATTGGACATGGTAATCGAAGTAAATGAATAAATGAATTTCGAATTGAACTGATTAACAAAAATCAGCTTATTATTGTATGTCCAACGCCCAATAAACAGTTCATCACCACCGGATTAATCATTTTCAGGACATATTTCAAAAATAGATTCATCAGTTGGACGTAAAGGTATGTAATAACCAGAAAATAAAACCCCAAAACTCGAATAGATACCATTATGTGCAAAATGGAGATACTTTAAAAGTCCATACAGCTTACTTTCTTTTGCTGTTCGCGATATTCTTTTGGATTAGAACCTTGAGGAGCAAATACATTGTAGGGTGACATGACTGACGAAGTCCCTGTTGCCGGTCCACCAGTTGAACCAAGTGGTACTGCCCCATGAGTTAAAGGATGAAATGGTGCCGGAGGAGGTAGAGCACCATTACAAACAGCATTATGAACAGCTGCTTCACGTTCACAAACCCAATGCGGAACTGGTTGATGGCCTGGAGCAGGTTCAATTATTTCTTTAGTGTATTTGTTTGGTGTGTTAAACCATTGCTTCTCCGAAAACTCGCGCCTAAGAGTTCTGAAATAAATTTAAATATTTAATATTGTTACAAGTTATTATATACTCTATATAACCAACCTTAAAAAACTATCGTAAAAATTTTACGATACTATTTTCTGTCCACTCAGTGGTCTTGAGTGCTGTTAGAGGTATGAGGGCGGTTTTTACTTCTCGGTTGCCCACACTGTGGAAGGGTTCTCCTGGGGGTGCCTGAAAAGAAAATTGGATTAGAGGTGGACTTAGTAACCTGAGAGCGTGACCGCAGCACCTATGGGACAACTGCTTGAGGTCGGTCACACACAACCTTTTTATGAGTAATTTTTGCGTTAGCTCAGTAATTGTTGAGATCTTACCGCCGGAGATGGATATCCGTGGGATAAGGCGAGATGTGCATTTTTAGGGTCGCCCTATTCTAACTCCACCCCTCCTTGTGGGAAGGCAGCATCGCTGTCATGCTGACTGTCTGAAGGAAACACCTTACTGCTGTCACACCTCTGTACAGTCAGCGGTACGAGTTCTCCTTGGGTTTGCTGCTTTCAGTCTTACCGCTCTTCAACTGACCTGTCTGGCATGGTACGACCTTGAGGAACGGTTGTTCCAGCCAGTATAGCTCGATTGGATCATCATGATAGGCAAGCCGACCACCATATCAAGGTAGCAACACGGTCGGGTCTGTCCACTGAAGTGTAAGTTATAAATTGGGACATGGGTATGTATGTGACTTGATTCTGGTGTTTTGGCAAAGATAAGCTTTCGCAATCTCAGCTGTTTAAGGTCGATAACTTTGTGTAGTTTATTTATTACATAGGAACTATTTACTGACAAATGTCGATAAGTTAGTAGCAATCGAACACTAACAACTCAGATCATTCGGCTTTGGCAGTTTTATTTCAATAATAATGCATAAATGAACACAGTTGCACAGACACATCCGTTAAGCAGTAGAGCTAGTCATAATCTAACTGAATATCAACATAAAAATTAAACGAGATTCATTTACGCAACAACTGAAAAAATTAAAAGAATTTTTACCTTATCTAGAGTTGTGAGAAGAGAAATGAAAGATCAAGTGATAGAAATTTGAAGATATACTGTTGTCTAAAGACATTAAGTAATGATTACAGAAAACGGTAAAATTAGGTAATACAGATAGATATTAGTGTATTTACTGTGATATCGATTGTCCTCAACATCTGTGAATTGCCAACATGAGATAAGGCTACAGGTTGTATGGATGAATGTTATCAAATGAATTAGAAAAGTGAGGTATTAGAGACGATAACTAAACTTACGATGGTCTAGGTGTTTCCGTTTCATCGCCCGAAAGAACTCCGTCATCATAATAATAAGCCATTGTAGCAGTTACAGACGAAGCAGATGGTGGAACTTGTATATCATCGTCCTGACGACCAGCCCCACCGTGTCCATTCACGACTTTACTTCTTCGTGATCGATGTGGGCTCGCCATAGCCTCCTAGAAATAATATGTTGAAAAATAGTCCGCAAAATGTTCACAAGCCGGTATTAATTAAATAAATCAGAGGTTATCGCATAATTATAATAGAAATAGCATAAACTGGAGGTTTAGGTCTCATAATTTATGGTCGACAAAATAACCTAATTGCCAAAATGGAATTACATTTGTCATTATATGTAGTTCCTTATTTAATTATCGACGTTTTCAAGTATCTGAAGTATGATGGAGTGTATGGCAATTAATCTAAGAACACTTTCAAATTGCGGTAGGTCCAAATAGGTACAGAGTCACACGACTGGTACTGGTTGTTGTTGATAGTAAATGATAACGTTTCGGATGAGAGCAAACTGGAAAAGCTTGACCTGAACCGAGTAAAGATAAACCAGTATTCCATGAGGTCATTGACAACTAATTTGGCGAATGTAAAATGACAGATTTACTAAAGTTCGCGAATCAACAGATTATTGATTGGAGCTATTAAGTGAAATGACTGAATATCTGTTGCAAATTTGCCGATGCGCTAATTTGTTATCTTGCGATAAGTATTATTACTCTATCGTTTCCCATTTTGCTTCGAAATTTTGTATTTTTTTACTTCTTGATTATTTACCAGTTTTATTTTGATGCAAAGCAATTTAAATGGACTATGTTTTAGCCAGTACGTAACATTTTTACCGATAAATATGTTCTTTTTGGTGCGAGAACACTTGTCAGACTTGGCTACTTAGAAATGTGCTGCAGTAAAACTCATATAAACTACTCTAATATCTAGATTTGCCTATGCTGCTAACTGTTGTAGTAAGTTGTCTAAGAACACTTAGATTCAGTAGAAGATCTGACAACTGTTCAATGTCTATGTCAGTTATAATGTAGAGTATGGGACAAATATGCCCTAGTTACTATACCCCAGTATATGCAACAAGATGTTATGAATAGAACAATTCAGTCAGCTGAGTTATTAGTAGCAATGAGTAGCGATTCAAACAATTAAAACTTGATACAAAGTTAGTGATGTGAAATATTAGGCAAAAGAAATTCCTCGGGATTAGGTTAGGATAAATTTATACCACTTTATAGGTTCTAAAATACTATTGTTGGTTATATCTGACTACTAATTACTAATACGATAACAACCCTATCTACATCGTATTATATCCCTAATATGGGATTCGCAGATGATACTAACGGAAAGGGGGTGATAATTAGATAGTTAAAACAATGACTACATTATAGGCACATAACAAGTCATGTAAACATGAACGTAAAACTTGTTGATACCAAAGTCGGATAGTTATAGATAAAGGAGGCATTAAAGATGAAATTTTCTGAACGCTAGTTTTACTCATTTACAAGCTCTGTGACTTTGTTACCTATCAACAGATCAAAAAGCCATGTGACAGTACAATCATACACGTCCTGATTTGACTAAACTTGCAATCATCTTGAGTTACACTTATTAAATTCAAATACCATAAAGGAAAATTACGCTAAAACAGAAATAATAAAAAAATAAGTGGGAAAAGTTTGACAATCATGTGAGTCGATAAATTTTCATTAGATTCAGAATTAGTGAGAGTATCTTATTCCCAATTAACAGATATTACATGAAACAAAATTAACATTACCTGCCGATAAAGATGGCCTGTACGACACCCAGCGTTATCTAAATGACGCATCATAGCTTCGAATTCTAGTTCACCTAAGCGCCATGGTCTGGCCGAATTACTTTCCACATTTGAACCATCTGAGATGAAACCATTTGTTACTGAATGTTGTCCTGCTTCACTAGTACCAGACTTATTAGGCGAAGATAGTCGCATAGCTAGTGCAGCTTCTGGACCACTAAGACCGCCTAATCCAGCTGTACGCCAGGTTTCATAAGTTTTTTGCTTTAGTTTGTCTGTAGGGAGAATGAGATTTTCGGTACTGACTGAGGCCAATAAGAGCTAAAACGTACACATTAGTTGTTTTTAGCGATAAGGAATAAATGACAGACTAAATTGATGATATTATAATCTCACTTAGATCAACATGCAATATGAATGTTTCAATATTGTACAAACTGAACTTACTGTGTGTTGAAAGGCTTTTTTCACTGATTAATGAATTTACAGGAAATAAGACGTGAAATAACAGGACTTCGCACTATGAAACGAGTAGTGTGCCCAGAATATAATGAGTCAAAACGGATAATTGTAATACCAATTATCACATAAGGTGATAAAAACAATGTTATAAAGAAGAATTTGTTTTATAATTTGCAAATGTTATCTAGAGTTAATACAAATGTCGTTAAAAGTTAACCAGCAATTAAGCCAGTGACCTTAAAAAGTACATTTAGCAACCTTGACTTCTTAATTTAAAAAGGTCACACCAAAGCTCTTATGTTTACTGAAAAGCTATCCACCAAAACTTATGTGAAAGATGTGGGAGGTGGAATTTACAGTTACATAATAAATTGAACTTCATCAAATATCTTATAGCAATTACTTAATACAATTAGTTTTTATATTGCTACCATATTATTCCTATTCTCTGGCTATTCATCTTGCTAATCTCGTTTATACTTCTCCAAGTGCAATGACTAAGTGCAAAAATTTACATTAAATAGACCTTAGGTTAGAATCTAGATCAGTTTGGGTAGCCCCCAACTTTCCTGGTACGGCCGAGGGTGGGGAGAGCCAGCTCATACTTTCGAAATGCTCTCAGATGACCACGAGTACACAGCCCCTGCCAGGGAAGTCCTACTCATTGCCTTCTCGAGGCGGGGCTGTTGTTTTCGAAATTGAGAGGGCGAAAAACGAATGTCTGGCGCTTTAATCGGGTTGGTGGACGCAGAGGGTCCACCTAGGGAAGTTGTAAAACCCTGATTCCAAACCAATGGTGCGCATGGGATCTAGGATTCTGAGGGAACAGATGGCGTATGAACCAATTGTTGGTCATCGGATATCATGGGGCAGCATCTCCTGACGTTGCTCCACTGCCAGTGGATCAAAACTTTAGGTGGAAGGCTCCGGGCGTGGCCCCTAAGAAAACCACCAGCTTCAGTTTGGGCACCCAGGCAGTATCACAGCCCACACACAAATCAAGTGAATTGTATGGTGCATATGTGTTTGGTGCCCTTTGTACCAATATTTATGTGTTCAAATAAATAAATAATAAATAATACATCTGATCGTGCTAACATTGTATGACAACACAAACCAACACATATCTCTCCAAGAATTTACGTCGATGATGGCAAACTGATATTACATAGGTCTACTACATGGACCGTTGAAACTAACAATAATAGGATTTGCTTAAGGCTATAACAGAATTATTAACAGCTATTTATACATTCATGAAATGTTTTTCTCGCCTGTATCAGAATAGTTTCCTGAGTAGATAAAATGTTTCTAGGTCATTGATTGGGATGGGTGCTTTCCGAAATAAATAAATGATAGAAACATAGATTGTACGTTGATAAAACCAAGGATATTAGCTCTTGTGTGAAGAGAAATGAGTTTCTGACTGAATACATACAATTCAGTAACTATATACATGTTTGTGAGCTAGTCCATGAAGTTACACAACGCCTAAACAAACGTTTTGTTGAATATTGGTACACTGCAGACTTTATTCGGAGTAACTAACATTTGAATAATATGTATCCAACAATTACGTGACTCTACTGTTAGGAAGAGTTTAAAAAGTCAACCTTAAACGTGAAAATGCCCACATAGATTCACCTTATTTAAATGTTTTAACTTAAATCCCCTTGAAATTTATCAGAAAAATACCTAGAGTTGAAATTGTTGAGACAGCTTTGATAAGCATGACGAAGACTCCAGAGGCTTTAAAGGAGTTGAAGAGATTACATCCAATCAGAACCTGATAGAGCCTTCTAGAATATCAACGTGGCATGCTACGATTGGACGGTAGCACAACTTGCCTCCTTGAGAATTGGCTGAATTATGATGATGTTATAGCCAATACCAATAGCTATAAATACCTATGTCTTTTGTACATTTTCGATTCTTATCTAATAATCACTCCCCTTGTTTCTTCCGTCTTCTGATTTGCGAGGGTGGGGTTCTACATGTTAGTTGTATATCGTATTATGCCGTAATCAAGTAGAGGACGTGATAAAAATGAAGCATGAAGTGGTTTTAATTAGTTGGTTTTTATCGAGGAGATTCAAGTTTTTAGAATCTCAATGAGAATAAATAATAATAACCGCTATTCCACTATCATAAAGACAAAAAGATTTTTTGAACTACAATAGGTAAGTGTATTTGATGAGTCTATTATAGCATACTAACTAAAAGAGCATCTGCACACAAATAGAATCTATAAAAAATGCTTGCCTGAGTATCACATGCAACTATTGCATTAGTTGCATAATGCCATGCCTCCTCGATCGTTTCACCTAAGGCAAGTAATCCAAGACTTCGAAGAAATAATATACGAGCAGTTGGACCTAAAGCTTCACTGACTGTTGCACATTCAGCTGCCCAATCTTTAATATCACCGAAATCTCCGTTAGCGTCAGCGTTAGTTCTACAGCTTAATCCACCGCTAGGAGTATAATAAGCCACTTCGCCCAAAATCATTGCTTCATTACAAAGAGGCAACAAACCCGATTTCATACAAGATATCTAGAGAAAGTACAAGGATTCATAACATTTAATATAATGAGGTTGTATAATAAAAATATGGTTTAGTTAATTCATTTAGCATTGAGAAAACAGTTGTGGATTAATTTCGAAACACGATTCTTAACTCTTTCTGAATAGTTTATTTCTGTTTTTGATGATAGACAAATATATCTAGGTTTACAATATGCTCACTAATAAACTGAGTAGAAATATTTTGAGGGTCTTCTCAATCTCTTGAGAGTAATGAATCAAGTATTTTAAATAATATACATCAAAATCAAAGTTAAAACGCACAAACCAACTTGTCTGCTGTCTAGTGACAACAAAAGCTTATTTTATATATCTATGTATAAACATTTAAGAGGATTGGAAAACAATACCAATTTTTGAAGTTTTGTTATTTCCTTTGAATTGAACGTGGTTGAAATACTAATTATTTACCAACGAACACAATGTAGTGTATGCCTGTTATAGAGTCAGTTTTCCGAATTGATTATTAAAACCGATAAATGGAATGCTAATCGATAGATGATCGCAATGATAGGACCAAGTGATGGCTACTCATGGGACTGTGTAGTGAACAGAGGCCCTTGGAATGGTTAGAAATCAAAGACAAGACAACTGGCCAGGTGGATGGTTTTTCATCTAATACATAACAAGCTTAGGTACAAAATATGAACATAAACTAAACACAACAAAATGTCATAGGCTCTTGAAGGAAATTAGCTTGTAGGTCACTCATTCTCCGATCAATTATGACCTGACTGTCAGGCCTAATCTTTGAGCATTGTATCAAAACCGTAGTAGCTAAAGGTTACAAAATCCCTTAGTCCTTATTAAAAGTAATTACGTTAAAAAAGAAACATCAAAACTGGATAATAAATTTGAACACTAGCCTATGATCTTCAGTGAATAACAAAACCCTCAAAATAAGCCAAAGACTAGATTGTTAGAACAGTAAAATTTGTTTGTCATTCAATGTACTAACAAATAAACTTTAAAATACAGTCCTTACTGCAACAGTAGAAGGGGTATCCAAGTGTATAATGCATCGGATATCAGCCCGAGCTGAATGAACAGCTGAATGTAAGGCCCATGTTACTTGATTTACACCTAAAATGGTAGATCCTGGATCAAGTATCTGGCCTGTGAAATGAAAAAATAATTACATATGGTTACGTATAAGCCAAAATGATTATTAATTTACTGAAAGCGCGAAATGCAAGGAATCATTTTGTATCGTTTATATTATTTAAATACATAAACATCGATACAAGAGGGCACCAAAAACATAATAACAATAAGGTTGTGAAGGGATAGAGAAGGTAATGTGTGTATAAGAAAAAAGAAAAACAACAATGAACAGAAATTAGTGTATGCGAGTGAAATAATAATAATGAGAGAGACAGTTCAGTTGACGAAAATACAACCAGGAAGAATTCTTTCAGTTAGAGAACTTACGTTCACTTGTATGAAAAAGGTAAGTTACAGAGAGATCGCCACTGGCTTTTATTCTGAGCCATTTCTGTGAACGTTTCTATCGACTGTGTTGCACCATCTCTGAGACCCCAATTAGGGAGTTGTGAAGGACCAAAAGAAACCAGTCCTGTACAGCTTTCTTTCATGCTATGACGCTATGTCATACACTGACCATATCTCCCCTTTTTACAATCGGTCCCAGTGTCGGCAAATGATGCACGATGTAGAATTCGCTGGGACGACATTCGTGAGACCTGTCCATGCGACCAAAGTCGGTGTTTTGAAATGGTGACACCAATTAAATTATCGTCGCTATGTCTAAACACACGTTGCCGAACCTCTGCATTACTAACATGGTAATGCCACTGGATGTCAGCTATCCTTCGGAGGCAACAATAATCAGACAGAGAGTTGTCTAACATCCTCAACTTGGAGAGGCCGAATTTCACGAGCATGGAGCAAAACTCTCACCAACGCGTGGTAAATCCGATCTTCTACAATCAGAATAATATTATGAAGGCACCGAAGATGGATCAGGTTAGCATAAGCTGGTCTGACTTTCATTGTACATGAATTGATCTCATCACTCATGTCACCACAAGCGTTTACGCAGCTACCCAGATACATGAATTTACCGACTTCTTCTATCTGATCACCACCCAGGGTGAGTGCAGGATCAGGGTCCTACCATTCTTACAAAATTACTATACACCTAGAAAGTTCAAAGTACATACTATACCTACGGACACTGATTTCTAACTGATTAAGTGTGGGTTGCATGGTTTGAGTATCATCGCACAGCAAGGCAAAATCATCTTCATGTTCGCGGTCGAAGTCTTTCCCCAGGTATCAGATCCACAATACCATTACCTATTTACATAATAACTGTTCACTAAACGTCATCAATAAGTCTTGAAAAGGAATAGTGAGACTGGGAAACCCTATGTAACCCCACTGCCTGATGAAACAAAAGAGAAAGGTGGTTGTACATCCTTTACTCTGCCTGAGGTATTTGTATTATGGGGCATTCAAGCTACTAATAAACTCAGGAACACTTTCAATAAACAATCTCAGAGAAGTCCTGCCCAACAAATCGACAGCGGCCCTAATGTCAAGAAACACAACAGTTGTTGGCCTGAAATTAGTATGGCGGTGTTCTAGCATTTGTCGAGGGGTGACTATATGATCAATACACCCTCGACCAAAACGAAAACCAGCCTGTTCCTCACGAGTCATTCTTTCCCAGATTTTGAGCAATCTACGAAGTATGAGGAAAGCCAATAGTTTGGACGCGATCGGAAGTAGACCTATCCCCAGATAGTTGTTGCGGAAACGACGCGAACCTTCTTTAAAGATAGGAACAACTATGAGCTCATTCCACAATGTTGTACCACTAACTGCCAAACTTTTGTAAACAACTCAGTCCGTTCCTTAACCAGAAAGTCACCACCATATTTAAAAAGGGCCAGAGGTAAGTAAAATGGACCTGGTGATTTGCAGTGCTTCAGGAGTTGGAGTTCCTTGAGGACTTTAGCCGCGTTAGGTGGATCAGTCGTCACAGGCCATGGAGGGCATGACAAACTGATCGGTCGCCGGGGCAGCAAACCAGTTGAACTACTCCTCATAAAACTCTGCTTACTGTCTAAGACGTCGGTAGATGTTATTAACTGGCATCCCATCAGCTTCACAGATTGTTTTACACACCAGACATTTTGCTTCTAGTGATTTGGATAAGTTGAAAGAGCTCCCGGCAGTTACTGGGAGAAGCTGTTGTTTCCAACTCGTTGGCACGCTCCGATAGCAAGGTTTCTCGGTCCTTACACAAGCTTTGCACAATTTCATTGCGTGGAAATCTTTGTATCGTTTAATAACCCATATATTCCATGAACTCCTGAGTTTCCAGTAAACTTTCCATTTCAATCACATCCATTCAAATCACCAGTCTCTTAAACGACTTACTCCCAATCACATCGACAAAGCCTGGGTTACCGGAAACTGAACGTAAAATCTCATTAGTGCGTAAAAGTCAAAACAACAGGGATTATGTACGTCTATCTAAAGCAGTAATTATAACCCAAAATTTCAGAAAACCAAGGTATGATTGTGAACTCACTACCGTTCCATTACCCAAATAGTGACACTGAGTAGAATAAAGCAAATAGTAATCAAACTACAACATGTACATACTGACCAGGTTTGTTGCAGGAATCATCATGCATGTCAGAATGCTTAAAACTGACTAATTCTATTCGCTTGATATTGAGCTACTAGACTTAAAAGTACATAGTTTTCATTTGTGGTATTTTCCAGCATACTTCGGCTTTCTCAAACAACCGAACAAATCATTGATACATAAATTTATAGGTAGTTTATTTTGCTGAGTTCTTGTTAAATAATAATGAGCGTTTAGTTATTTAATGTTTAGTTACACCATTTAAGGTAACAAATGGAAAATCAAAAAGATCAGTGCTTTGAATTTTACCAATCTAATGAAAAATCGTTAGAAACCGTCTAGCAATATTTCCTAATTAGAAATTCATTAGAATTCAGTGATCAAAGGAGAAAGTTCCTAGGGTATAGTCGGAATAGAAACATCCAGAAAATTCAGATTAAGTGACGTTTATAATCATACTACCGTAGCTCACCTTTGGAATCGACCTTGATGAGAGACGAAGCAGTAATTTCATGATAAAGCAGTCCGAAAGGATTAACCAAATAATGTTCATGATTGCGACTAACACACACCTAAAATAAATAAAAGGGAAACAATAAGAAATGTTCCCCAAAAGATCCAGCAAAATATAATTCACATCTATGGTAGGACTCAGGAATTCAATGAATAAAACTATGTTTAAGCATAAGTTTGTAACTCAGAGACTTTTTGTTGCGGTTGCTTAAAAGATAGTATTATTATTATTATTTAAGCCTCAAATTTCGCAAACTAGACTCCGCTGACACTTTATGAAAAGAAATAAAAGTAGTCCGTTGGCGATAGTATCTGGCTTGTTATGAGTACTAGAAGTGGTGCGACAGATGAGATTAATCTTCATATATCAAAACAAAAGCACTTTATACACTTCTGTGTTACCTTTAGCCCCGTTCTCCCAATAGCCTGACTAGAGAAAGTCGGTGGTACAACACTTATTGTATCTAGTCTAATATTACACTTTCAAACCTGGCCACTTCATACTGAAGGTATTCTAAGTCTCTTTAAGTTTGACTACGTCGATATTGCATTTGGTAGTAATATTACGTGAGTAATACTGATGAGAATGTCTTTTTGAGAACGAAGGTTATTATTCAGACACCGTTTAAGAACACTGAACTAGGTGGTTTTGAAACACCTTGACGTATGACATCACAGAGACCTACATACCTAACATTATATATTACCGCTGGCATTGGAAGGAGTTGGGGACTAATCAGTTTGTGGTGGAGTAGCAAAACAGCTCCGAATGTTTTAAAGGTCGTGCAATTTTCTGCTATTAGGTATGACTTGAAATAGTATAAAGGATCAGTTTTAAAGATATACTACTGTGCTTTATTTTTTTCAGTAGTCTACATTAAACACCTACATTTCAATTTAACTAAAATCGATCCCCAAGTCTCTTGATCTACGAACATCACTATTATATTTTATCTCAATAAAGGACTAGCCTACTTAAGTAAATAAAGCAAATAGATAAAAGTAAAATTTTCGAATGTTATTCGGTTTGAAAAACTTCGACGACAAAACTATTGAAAGATATAGAGTTACGATGAGTTATAGTGAGAATAGGTTTAGAATGTGTGAACATATGGTAGACGTTAATGTGCCTAGAACCTCTATTTATGCTCCGAAGGAATGTTTGGTTCATGAGAAAGTGAACAGAAATAGGTACTTAATAATGCTAATGATTACTTTTAGATGGTTGCTGATTGGCCATTTACCAAGTTTAGGAGCTGAAAGAATAAAAGTTACTTACAGTCACATGATTGTATATACTCGAATTCCATCCGAAAAGATCTATTAAGCGATATACCGATGCTAGTTTGCAACGGAGAGAACGTTCACGTCGAGAATAAACAGTCGCGTCACCACCACGCAAGTCATTTATCGGAATAACACCATTACGATGCCCTGCATAAATTTAAGTTACATGAAAAATAAGAGTAATTTATAAACTAAATATACTCAAGGAAGCAAAATGTAAGCACATACCATGTAACTAAGCAACAACGGAATCCTTTGAATTTAGAAAAAAAGATGAATTACTTAGTCAAATAAAGTAAACTAAGGTCTGTTTATCGTGTTGCACATAAATCTGGAGAGAATGTAAAACGGACTTTTATTCGTTTATACAGTTTGCAGTACCTCACATCAGCACAGCGTAAAGAAAATACTATGATTAAAAGTGGAACATTGTAAATGACCATAGTGCGAAACTAAACATAGTTAAAGTGGATTGGACCATCCTGTTGTTGATGTTTGGCTGAATTTTGGTCGGTCTTGGTTGGCATCTTGTGCGGATTGCATTGATGTATTCATCATCACACTAGTATAGAATAGATGAAGCGTGATTAGTGTAACCCAGGACTGTTATGTGAATATGAGAACTTCAGTGAGGTAGCAGGTTTGAATCTCTTTAAAATACATTTAGATTTGAGCAGATCCTTAATGTATGTAACCATTAAATGTAGTGATCATGCTTAAGGTCTAAACCGGGAGTTAGTCAACTTAGAAATTAAAAGTTTAGCGACCAGGAATCTAGCGGGAAATTTAAAGTTTGCTGCAATTTTACGCTGAAATATGTTAACTTGTTTCTTTTCGATTCAATTTTATGCAGTATGTAGAAGTATAAGAAGCACTTTGAAACCAGGGATTAAGGTGTTTCAATAAGTGAATGCTTTTAGATGTTCAGATCTCAAAACTCAAGAAATCGCGAAAATTTTTGAGTCGTAAGGTCTAACAGTATTGAAAAAAGAGTTGAAAAATACTAAAACCTGTGAAGAATAAGGCAGAAACATGACGCAGAAATATGCAAGACAGTTGCATCTAGAAGCATTTAGGAAATACGTTTTCGTAGGTACTGAAGTCCTTTATTTATCCAGTTATGATAGTAAGTATTACAAGTGTATTTACTCCACAGATGTCACTCTTTTCATTTATTTTTCAAGCGAAATCATCCACAAAGCCTGTTGCCAGCATTGAAAACGCTTACCAATGAAGATTTATGTATCGGTTTTTAAACATCATCAGAATTCGTGAACGAAGACAGCAGCAAAGATAGAATTCTGGTACCAAGACATCAAATATTTAACGAGGTAAGACGTCATTACTAAAAGGTGTATGTGATTGGAAGTAACCTCTAGGGTGAGACTAGAATTTATGGACGGCCGTTGAGCAACGCTGAAGTGACTTTCAGAGTGTCCGCCTAATAATCAAGACCAAAGGAGGGTTATAAATCAGTTTCAGTAATTAGAATTATAACTTGCAGTTGATGGTTAAGATTAGGAATTAGATTTAGGGTTTTCATTCCCAACTGACATAAGCTATAATGCCAAAACTTAATTTATCCAAATGGATGAGTGAATTTCGTGCCAAAATCAGAGATCTGTTGTCTTATACCTGATTGGTTCGTCCATAAATTAGTCTCGCCACCTCTAGACATACTATTTGATCTGGGAACCTGAAATGATAAACGACTCACTAAGAAAGCAAATTATGCACTGAAAGTTCTCGCTTAAAGGCAATTTTTCTGATAATATTCTGACAAATCGCGTTGAAAACATTAAGATGTCTTAAATCTGACTAATTTTCTCTCATAAGGACTCAAAAAGCTTATAACCAGCAATTCGCTCATCGAGAAATAAAAAGCTCTTGCTGACCTTAAAGAGACGACATTTAACATAGTCATATAAAGTAAGGTTTTGGTCATTTCAAACTTTTATTCCAAAGTCACTGATGGCATACTGAACAGCTCGATAATGGATATATTCACTGTGAAACTAAGTTCGAGAAGTGATATTTGAGAGGTTAGTTTAAAAGACCGATATCATATGGACAGATTGGTTAAACCTAAAGGAAGAATATCACATATGGCTTTTCGAGAATAACGGTCAACAATGTGCGACACTATTTTGATCAACTCAGAGAATGCACGGGATTGCTGGAATAGCATATTATGAGAATTATATACACGCAAGAAAAAACGTTGACCTGCCTCTTGCAAATCCACCGCCACCAAGAGGTTTTCCAGAAGGGGCAGAATTGAATAAGTCTGATATGTGTTGCAGAGACAGAAGACTAGTGCTCATACCAGGATAGTCACCAGATGGACACTGAGAACGTATAACTTCCTCCAGTTCTCGTCGAAAAGCATCCGACTTCAGTATGCCGGACACGCGCTGTCGTTGAATCATCAGATTTACATCTTCTTTTATGCAAGCAGGGCGCATTAAACTTTTCTGATACTCTGGATCCTCAGGATCTAAAGCAAGCTAGATGGATGCAAACTAACTGACCGATTTTATCAATAAACTTGTCTGGTTTATCTGACAACACGACCCCGTTAGCAACATTGCTATCCGGCATTTTATTTAGCAGGATACAATCAAGCGTTACTGACACTAGGACAGTTCACAACCACACAATATCCAATACCCAACAACCTTAAGCTAGCCGCCGAAAATGTAAGGCGCCATACAACTTACAGTAGAAAGAACAAACAATTATGACTAACGGGTTTATTTACAATCAAATGGGATAGAATTGAAGTATGTCACCACTTCAAACTAACGCTTCAGTCACCAGACGTTATTATCAGATGCGCTAAGTAACATATTAGCATTACAAACAGACGAATCTGAGAAAACAGAGACATCTTGAGGAAGTGGATGCTCTTCATCACTGAAAACGGTACAATGTATTACTTGGATCTCATTATTTTGTGTTTTTCTTTCTTCCCCCTATATATATGAGGTTTCATAAGCATTCAAAAAAGTCATATCCTGGAGTATCCCAGTAGCTCAATCTTCATATTTTAGAGATTGTTATAACACGATGAGCCAGCGTAGACAGCGATTTGACTTCCATGTAAGATGTCATAGATTAGCCAGTTACATCATGACAAATCCACAATTTTAAGACCAGGTCTATTATTAGAGCATTACTAATAACGAAGTAGACCATACTTCTACGTTGGTAAGCCCGACTAAAGAAATGCAACCTTATATTGATCCTTATTTTAACTCTAACTTTTTCGGTCGGTTATTTACATGTTAAATTACTATTCTATCAGTCCTCTGATTAACGCTCACATGTATTATTGTAATGTCATATTGGTTAGTACTCATAACTTACTGGTACAATCGATACTAATAACTGGTCATGTATACTAACCTGTATAAAAGACTCCGATTTGTGGGAAATTTCAAATAATTTCGTGAAAGTTTGGGGAGTTTCCTCGAAGTCACATAGAAGTTCACAAATTTCCCCGGAGTTTAGTGAAATTTCGAAGAATAGCCCCAAATCAAAGGGAATGCAAGGAATTTCCCCTAATCCACTCGGAATTTTGAGATCCGAAACCGATGCACCCTGATTGTGCGAATGGTATAACAAGCCTTGGTATAACTCAAAATAGATATACATAGTGCGACAAGATGAAGGACATTGAGCAAAACGGTAGGTATACAGATACACACAACCAAGCACGAGATGCATAGATGGAGAGTTATAAGGACATAAATATAAGAAACATATGTACTGAGGGTCACAGTAACCTATGGCGAGAATGGTTTTGTTAGTAAGGTAGAAAAGATGCAGTAGTCAAGTGCTGTCTGGTTTACTAGGATCTTGATGATGTCACAGGTATTCAGTGTTTGACAACGCTTCTACCAGTAACACCTTCTAAGATATTTCGTTCCCACCAAGAGAAATCAAAAGGTAGGGTCAGTGAAATAGTTGCACATCGGCATAGAAGCCATGTAAGCACTGCCTAGTTAGTGAAAATTATTTGAGAACGTCTTTGGGCGTTAAGAAATATTGTGGCCATTAGAAGGTAAGGAGAACCCTTATCCGTTACCCAAAAATAAATAGTAGATGGCTAAATATAAATGTTTATAAACAAGACGCCTGTGGTTCCAAATATGTTAAACTCAAGAGACCAGAGAATGCTACTAGTTACAACGATCTGTGCTACAAGAATTGGAAACGAATCAATTGCCTGGCAGTGTGGTGTTTATGTGAACTAATGATTCTTTTGTACTTGTTGAATGCTTGATTTCGAATTCCAAGTACAGCACATTCGTTTGCGCTTATCTAGTACCTCGTGATTCACTAGCGTTGTTGCTGGGATTCCTAGTTTGTACTATAATTTAAATACTCCTAACTATTGCGTTGGAGCAATGGAGCATGTGATGGAACGGTTAAACATACATTCAGATTTTGATGCTTTTGAGAATTACCTGGAAAGTTTCGAAATCTGGGTTATGACCAAGAAGGACGTTGACGATATTAATATTACAACATATTTTTTGACATTCATCGGAAAAGAAGCATACGGCTTCTTAAAAACTCTGGCTTTACCAGTAAAGAACCACTACTAGACTATGTTAAGCATACAAATTTCGAATGAGGTAAAGGAGGAAAATTTCGTAAAATTATTGATCAGAACATCGAAAATTCCACTGCATTACTACGTCATCCCAAACCAGTGCATACTCAAGATTAAGTACACAAATCATTGAGTTGAGATGCAGTTCACGAAGATGGGCACAATTTTGGTCAATATTTGTCTTGCGGCCGATTTCACTCACTTGATTCATGTGTATTTCGTAATTCTAAATGCTTTAAATGTGGTGATATTGGACACATTTAGTCAGTTTTTAATACTACGGTTTATTCCGCCCCAACTAACGCTAAAATTTGTAATTTCGATCCTATTAAGTTGGGTGTTTCTAAAGATCATTTATCTTTATCCACGACTTCGAAAAGTGTTATACAGTCACATAGCATTCCAGAGTTAAATGAAACTCAGATACATTGTGATACGAAAGTTTCTAATCAACCAACTTATCAGATCTCTCATGTTATTGTACCATATGGTTTGTCCTAATGATCGAAATATTTCTGATGAAATTTCCTAAAAATCTGGTGAAAACATGTTGAGTGAATCTAATTATGATCGAAAATCCGATGCAGTCTTTATCGATGCTGATTTTTCTAATGACCCATCACTGTTGATATTCTTATTAAATTTGAGGAATTATTTTCAAAATAATCGAATCCTGATGTCATTTCATATGTTACTTATCTTCGTAATGTATTTGTTTCTTGTTAGACACTTGTTCAATGCGAAGCACGAGCACTAAATGTGCTCGACTTTGATTACAATTCGGATGATTTCATATCAACTGTTGTTTACCCTTATCATGAATTCACTTGTAATGAATACTCTAGTCAATGTGCGAAATATGTTTTAAATGAAGCCACATCACTCGTAACTTGGGGATATGAAGATCCAAAGTTATTTCGTGGGTGAGGATAGCGTTAGAAAGTATTTGATTCAAATTCTAGAATTCAGTGCTTCCAGTACACAACCAACATGATGATTATACACAATTCCAGGACCCAGGTGAGTCCGTTACAGTTGCAGTTGCTAATCCTTATACTAATGAGTACATGCTAGATCATACAGAGTCTATGTCCAATATACTGTCAAACAGACATAGGATGAACATAAAGAGAAGACGGAAACTTAGACTCAAATTTAAGCTGTGGCGGATGTGGTGCTTGTATAAACTAATGATTCCTTTGTACTTGTTGAATGCCTAATTTCGAATTCCAAATACAGTACATTCGTTCGTGCTTATCTAGTACTTCTTGATTATTTCTTGTGTTCCTAACCTGTAATACTTCTAATTATCACACAATGATACCTTGGGACACCTGGTCTAAGAACTAGAGGGATTAAATTACGAACTATTACTTCTTTATGTTATTGAATGATGGACAGACAGAAGGGCTTTGAATTTTATGTAGTGTCTAATCCCTGATAAGAAGGGTACGAAGGTTATTTTTGAAAGTCACTGAATTAACCGAAGTCCCAACAGTGGTCAGCTTGAGGTGAACGACCTTATAATACGTTCATAGACTGCCCTTTTTCAGCTGGGAAAATGGGCGAACGGCAGAATATACTTTAGTTAAACCGAATGATAACGCCTATCTCATCCTTTTTCAGCACTGTTCTCTAACACTGATCTCTTCTTACTCTGGTGTATTTTGGCAATAACGTCGTGTTAGACTAAAGTCGAGGTCACTGTGTGGTTCAGTGTATGACTATTAACATTTGACTGTTGGCTTGGAAATGTTGCTGTGATCATTGCAGATAGATATGTGATCCCGCCTTCCTGAAGATATTTTTTGATTCTCATGTACCTACTTCTTGTTTATTGACTAAACCTTTTGTTGTTTAGCGCCTTAGTTTGTGTTACAGAAACAGGTTGTACCGTTTGATGTATATCGCGCCTTCAATATAATTTATTCTCTTTCTTGAATTAGAGCCGTTTAAATTGGACACAGTTTGTGCCTTAAAATAATTTAATAGGAATCATTCAAAAACACTTCATTCGCTATGCAGAAGAACGTAGTCTGACTTAATCGAAAAAAACTTTATTTTGTTAGTTCTGCGTTCGAACCGAATATTCATATGTCGGTCGTTAAAGAAAGGAAAGTGAATTGTGAAAGTGGCACAATAATGATGTTTGTGAGAAACAATAAGAATAAACGGTAATATATGCATCCCAAAAATAGTTAAAAAGTAATTCAGTAACGTTGTTAGGTGATAATCTGAACTAATGAGCTTTCTTGGTTTGGATATTTGAGATGGAATGTGTTGGGACAAGTTCACACTGTTGGTATTCCTTAAACCCAACTCGTTAATTGTTGAAAAGTTTCAGTATGTGTCTTTGCAGAACCGGATTTCTGTTAAGGCTGCCGTCAACGTAAGTAAATCCACTTTTGTCACTATGCACTAACAGATCACAAGACAGTTCATTGGTATAAGTAGTCTTTGTCTTCTTGGTTTACCGCAAAAATATGGCTTTCTTTAGCAGGGGAAGAGAATGAGTAAACCACTTTTAGGTCACCAACAGAAAGGAAGGGTTTACCGTATCGAGGAAGTGACCACAGGTCAATAATGAAAATGAGGGTGAGTAGTGGCCAAATAACACTCTCTTCTATAATCCTACAGGCTATATAATAATAGTTCATTCTCACGAGACATGCCAGTTTACAGACAAAATCATAGGCTTGGGGTAGAAACATCGAAAGCAAACGATTTGGCTATTTTATTGTGAAAAATGTTTGAATCAGGATAAAAGGGTGTGCCGTATGCAAAATGAGTAAAGTTATGAAAGGAGAAGGTTGTGTGATACACTTTCAAAGGCCCTACTAAGATCGATATGTAGACTCTTCACTTATTAACCATTTGGGGAACTAAACTTATCCCCATACTAATCAACTCTTTCAAACGTCTAGTGGCTCAAAATAAGATCCAAATATACATTCTTTGCCACCACTCTCTCAACAATGCCTGACAGAGTGTAACCTAATTCAATTATATGCTAAGTGATCGTGTACTGCAGACAACTATACGGTTGACATAGCCAGAACCTTCACAACTTAACACATCGA